CTTTACATTTGCGAAGAATTATCAAGCACCACTAAATGTGTCAGTTCCTCCATCACCACAAGCCAAATTCTTGTGGCGTTCGTAAATTTGAGATCAAGCCACTATGACCCTCAGATTAACAACCTTGCACATACACTTTGCAACCCCAGTGATCGAATCAGAGCATTCACACTTTGCAATAGCGATTGTAACCCTAAACCTTTACATTAGTATAAACGTTATTCCATACATGTGTTCTTCTATTATTTGTCGTATAAAATTCACGTTTGCAAAGAAAACTAACTATCACCCAACACACTATGTGATTTACAAAATATAATCTAAAAAGATAATTTCTCTAACATTTTCCATTTTATAGTGCAAAACCATAAAAGTGCCTAATTATGATATTAAAAAATTTGTGACAAGCAGACATTGAGTAGTGGGTAAGTGAGCACTTTTTCACATGGTCTGTCATACAAAAACAGGTACGCATTCTGTCATTCACCCACTCTCTTCAGTGGGGAAAAACTTAAAACAATTTTGTAAAACAAGGCATCTCCTTATTTATGCTCCAAAATACTATCCATGTGAGGAGGTGCAACCAAATAATAATAATTATATTCAATTATCAAAATGATAAGAATAATTATACAGAAATCTTGTCTTCATCACATGTTGATAAAAAATGAATTGTCATTCGTTGTTGGATTTGATATAAAATGTAGAATAAATGAATGCATGCACTTTTCTCAGATTTTGAATATAAATTCAACTATGAATGATTCTTTGGAGTTTGGCTACAATAATATGTCTTACTCAGTGATATAAATTTTATGCAATCTAATCGTTGTATAGATACATTAGATCTTTATGCATGATGTCACATCCCGCCTCCACCGTAATAAGATATTGTTTGCTTTAAATCACGTCCTCATGGATTTGTTCTTGGGCTTCCACCCAAAACGCATCATGCTAGGAAGATATGGGTATGTACATATAAGGCCATGGACTAACCCTCACCCCACCGATGTGGGATCTTACAATCCACCGCCCTTAGGGAGACCTACGTCCTTGTCGGTACATCCGAGCGAACGGTGAGTCTAACTTTGATACCAAACAGTCACATTCCGCCTCCGTCGTAGCAAGATATTGTTCTCTTTGGGCCACGCCCTCACAGATTTGTTCTTGGACTTCCACCAAAAACGCATCATGCTAAGAAGAGATGGGCATGTACATATAAGGCGACTAACCCTCACCCCACCAATGTGGGATCTTACACATGACCTAACTGTTAAGCTACATATTGGTACATAACAGAAAAAAATAGTTAAAATATTGGATGATGCAATCTACATACTTTTGTTTACCTTTCACACATACGTCTTAAATTTCAGCTATTGGATCAAATGAATCAAAGATTATCAAAAGATAAAAATTAACATAAAGTGTGTAAAAAGTAAAAAAAAATATATATATATATATATGAACAATACAACCTATAATTTTTTGCAATCACACAATCAAGAAAACGAGACTCGATAATTATAATAACCAAAGATACGATGGAGATGTTTGATCTCTCTCTTATCTCCTTCAACCTTTTTGACGCTTACATACAAATTGCGTATCTTTTGGTGATATAGAGGACTACGAGTCGTGCATGTCTTTCACGTTCTTTATGTTTGATTGATTCAGTCAAGATCATCATATGCAACCGTGAAAAAGTGTTGTTTTGTCATTTACTGATTTTCCCATTTCTTTATTTATTTGGGTTTTTTTTTCTTGCTTTCCCATTATGCTATAACGTGCATATGGAATTCGAATTCTCGTCGGGTTTTCTTTGTAAGTATCTCGAAGATTCGTGAATTGTGTTCATTTATCGTATATGGTGCGATAAAAAATTATTAAATATTTTTATGTAAAATTACACATAAATTGTATCTGATAAAGATCAATCGCATAATATATGATACACGATTCATGAATTCCCAGAATCCTTATAAAAAAATCCGAAGAGGAACATGTTGGGTGCATATGGTCAATGCATGATGGGCGTGGGAGTGGGGGTGGTGGGGTAGCTGCCAACCATCACCGTGCTTTGTTTTATTTAATTTTTAACGGAAACTATTACTAGCACTTTAAAAAGTTTATTTTGTATTCCTCATAAGTGTAATTTAGAAAATTTAAAGTGTTAAATGAGATTTTTAGAATGCTAATAACAATTTTTATTTTTTTAACAAACGATATTAATTACACTAAAGGGGTGGAGGAGTGCTAAGTTTCACAATGAACTGACAATAATATGGTTCAAATTTACTTTTGATGAAAATTGAACATAAACCCTATTTCCTTTTTTAATTTCACTTCTTTGAGTCTTCAATCCCTAAAGCTTTAGTTGAAACTCTAACAAAGTCACATTAGTCAATCTTGTTAGATCATCTCATTTGGGAGTTCATCCAACATGTTAAGTTCAACAATGTGTTTTAGAACCTTGTTATTAGAACGCAAGTCAAGAGAGAGGTAAACCTAATTTATCTTACCGTTCAAGCATTAATTAATTTCACCCATCAAATGAGTGAGGCAACATGTGAGGCAATTTCCTATGGGGGGGGGTGGGGTGGTGAGCATAAGTCAAAATTCTAAAACGCAACTAATTCGTATTGTATTGTTTTCTAGGCATTTTCCCAATATAATTAGGGTATTATTTAGAGATGCTCATAATACAGAAGGCAAAGGTCTCTTTTTCATTATTTGAAGTTTTGAATGAGAAAGTTTACACTTAATCACTAAGGAGTTTCTATGTGTAAAAAGGGTTGATTTTTTTTTTCTATTTTATTTAACTAGAAAAGTTATTTTTAGTCTAATTGTCATGATCATTTATCACTCTTAAATAGTAGTATGAATTTTGAGACATTTTTAACAAAAATAGCTTTCATCAACTCTTCAAGGCTTCTTCGTATGCATAATGCTTCCCATTGATTGATGACTTAGAAATCCTACTGTATGAAAAACTTGGATTTTATGTATAAATGTGTTTACTTTTTTAGAGGTTTATAGTTTTATTGGTGAGTTTATTAAGTTTTTTTTTTTTTTTTTAGTCATTTCATTACAAGGGATCGACCTCTCAACATATTCTAGTTCTAAGAGTCTCAGTCATCTTGCCACTTAGTATTATTATTTAGTGGTGTTCCTCTTTACTTGTAAGTGTGAGATTTTAGGTTCGATTCTCACCAAAAGCGAGTTTGAACCACATTATTGCTAGCTTATTGTAAGGTTTAGCCCACTCCCCCACTTCTTTGGTATAAATAATATCATTTGTTCAAAAAAAAAAAAAAAAAAGTCTCACTCATCTCATTCCCTATGCTACTAGAGGTAGGGTCCATCAATATATGTGAGTCTCATATCTATTAGAAAGATAGTACAAATAGATGGTATGAATAATAGTTTTGTTTTTTTTTTTTTTTAAATGATTTGGCACCATTTTAAAAAAAACAGCCTTCTTCTTTCTCCTTGTGTTTGCAAAACCTTCACTACGATCTGCAACCATGACTACTTCTTACAGTCAATTATCCGAGCTTATGAATAATCTCGAGACCACCCTGATCTCTTAATAGATCCTCCTCTGCTCATCTCATTCCCTATGCTGATAGAAAAATAAAACAAAAGCTAGGCTTCTATTTTGCTTAAAAGTAGACCTTAATAATTAATGTGTCGAAGAAAATACCATTTCCCATCTAGTTTGGTATGCCTTTTCGTTTTCCAATCTTTTTTCATTCCTTGACGGTTGACATAATTATTTGGAAGGTTGCAGCTGGTGTGGTGTAACTGCCGACAATGACATAATGCTGCTAATCCAAAGCTTTTATAGCCTTTCATCAATTGATTGAATGCTACTTGCCAAATTGCGCATCTATATCCTATATAATATTGCGTCTTTATGCTCTCTTTTCCCTTTTGCACTTTTTGCTGATATAAAATGAAAAATACTTGTGTTTTGCACTTAATACTTGTGTTAAGGACCTACTTGTCGAGAAAATTTCGGTATGCTAGAAACAAAGGTAGTACATCGTATGTTATTACATAAATAGAGGAAAATTTTATTTTTCAAGCAATTAATTTTTTAATATAATTATCTCATCACTTATATAAATATACGTAATGTATCAGCCTCTCCTATATTCCTACTTGTTCATAGACTTATTATCGACGTCATAATTAAAATTGTCCATATTCCTATTTTAATAAAAAGACCAAATGATGATTTCCAACCTTGATATTTTTTTTAAGAGTTGATTGTTAGACGACGATAACGAATATGAATGGCTCTTATTGTAACATATGTACTTTGAAATAAATTAAGGAAAATGCTAGAGAGTTGATCTTTCTAGATCATATTTTATAAATCATATGATGGCATGGTTGATGGTTAAGCTTCTTTCTTTAATAATTTAAAGAATGAATCTAACCATGAACTCTCACATTATGTGATTTATAAAATATGGTTTAAAGAGAGAGTCTCTATAGCATCACCCAAATGAAAAACACACACCATTTTTATTCTCCTACTCATTCAGCTTCATCATGTCTTTTGTTATCATTTAATTTATTAATTTGACGACCATGAATAAAAAATAATGCTTGAAAGGCTAAAAAATGTGTGTGAAAATTATCTCCATAAACAAATTACAAGTGAGTAAACAAAGTAGGTCCACCCATTAAATATTAAATCTAATCAAGAATACAAAATTGTAATTGACGCTCTAAATAGTGCTTATACACATAATTAATTGTTCATGCATTAAGTCCTACCTTGAATTATACAAGCGTCAAAAGTTGACAATTGTCTACGTGTGATTAACAAGTATGAAAAGCAACCCTCTAACTAATTGATAATTAATTTGTGATCTGGTCTCCCATGAGCTAATAATATTGCTCCATCCACATCACCTCTCCCTCTCTTTTCTTGTATACCATATTCTTTGGAGATAAAGGGAGGGATTAACCCCTCTCTCTCTCACTCTCTCTCTCTCTCTCTCTCTCTCTCTCTCTCTCTACTATATTAGAAGAAAGGCTGGGATCAATATTTGTCAAGCCTCCCCTTCCCTCCCATCTTCAAAGACAATACAGTGGAGAGAAAGAGACATCATCCATCCAATATGAACCCATCCGCCCGCAGTTTTTGTGGAACAAGTTGTTCTTAGCTGTTATCTGACTTTCTCTGGTCCCTCCCTCATCGGCCAAATGCCCAAAACCCCATACTTGTTCTTTGTCTCCATTCATTATCTCCCATAACATTTCCTTCCCAACCTCATCACCAACTCAGTTAAAACAACTGCTACTTGAACACGCAGCTATATCCTGCAGCTGCACTTCCAGAGAAAATTATTTTAAAGAGATCATGAAGATCCGGTGCGACGTTTGTGACAAAGAAGAGGCAACTGTCTTCTGCTCTGCCGATGAAGCCGCTCTTTGTGACGTCTGCGATCGCCAAATTCACCACGCAAACAAGCTTGCCAGCAAACACAAGCGCTTCTCTCTTCTCCACCCAACTTTCAAAGACTCCCCTCTTTGTGATATCTGTCAGGTTAGTACTAGATGCATTCTTTCTCTATGATATTATTGATGATAAAATTACAGGAAAGTGATTTTCGTCCCTCCCATTTCCCTCCATGCACTCCTTATCTTTTAGCCTTTGAATTGAATATTCCAAAGATAATAAAGGAACTGTACAAGGAGGAGCGCAGTTGGAGAAAACGAGTCTGAAAATCACTGTATAATTCCAAATTATATTTCGGCGACAAGAAAGTGTTGTAGCTAGTTAATAATTTTTGGTGAAGAAGATACCAGTTCTTAGCTCCTTGAGTCCTAAATTTTTTGTGTTGGGTTTTGTAGGAAAGGCGAGCATTTCTCTTTTGTCAAGAAGATAGAGCAATTCTCTGCAGGGAATGTGACCTTTCGATTCACAAATCGAACGAACACACACAGAAACACAGCAGGTTTCTGCTCCCCGGTGTTAAGCTTTCTGCGGCTTCTTCTTTGTATCCATCTTCATCAGCCTGCTCCAACTTCTCCGAAGTTATGACCGCAAAAACTAATGATGCAAGAGCCTCAAAGTCATCCACAATAAGACAGAGAACAGTTTCGTCGAACGAAATCTTGAGTTCTTCTTCTCCTTCGTTAATGGAACAAACAATGTCATCTTCGTCATACAAGAAGATAGAAGAGAATTATTGTGTCAGTGACAATGGTTCGGGTTCGACAAGCAGCATATCGGAGTACTTGATGGAGACGCTGCCTGGGTGGCATGTGGAAGACCTTCTTGATTTTTCATATGATCATTCCAATGCTTTCTGTGAGGTTGGAAGTGCATATTACCTCTAGAGGGGTTTTTTTTTCTTCCTCTTTTTTTTTTCGTTTTTGTTTTTTGTTTGAAAAAAGCAATAGAAGGCCATTTTGTTGGTGATGTGTATACTTGGCAATTATCAAGGCCAATGTTGCTTATGTTACTTGTGGGATTTGCTGCCCTTAGTGAAGCAAGATCTTCCGAACAACATAAGGCTTTTTTTCCTCATCAAATGATTTGGCCATCTGGGCACTTGAAGCTTCACTTGTGTTATTGGGAACTTTTTTTTCAATGGTTTTACTTTGTTAAGGACCTAAGTTATTGAGGGCGAGGTCTTCCTCTTCCCTACTAATCTAAGGGCTTAGTAGCATGTTTAATTTGACCTCTACATGAGGTGATAATGAATTTTTCATCCACTTGACTTATTCTCTTCATGCAACCATTTGACCTCTAATTTTCAGTTTTAACATCATGTTTAGTATGTTTAGTTACAAACTCATGCAACCATACAGTATTTCAAATGGATTCACTTAGAGGCTGTTTGATAACAATTTTGTTTTCAGTTTTCGTTTTTTTTTTTTAAACTGAAAATTTGTTCGGTAACTACTTTCAGTTTTCAATTTTCACTAAAAACTAAAAATTGAAAACTGAAAATGCTAAAAATGCTAAACTGAAAATGATGACATGGTTATCAAATGGCATCTTAATTGTTCATAATCTGCATACCATTTCTTTGGGTTAAAAACCTTTGGGGTCATTGTGTTTATACCTAAAATCAATTTTTGTCACAATGTTTTCAATTTAGCTAATTTAGTCACTGTATTTTACAAAGTCTGAAATCTTAGTCACTTTCGTTAATTTTCTTAAAATATTAATATACCAATAAAAATTACTTAAGAATTTTAATTTATTTTTTGGTCGGAATTATTTATTTCTCGAGTATTCCTTTTTTTTTTTTTTATGGCAATATTGATGCTTTGCTTATGCAATTGAAGAAGAGTAATTTTTAATTCACATGGATGGTGTGGCCAAAAATAAATACAAGGATGATGAGTCCCATAAGATAGGGAAGTTAATAAGAGAGAGCATTTTGATGAAAGATATTGGCTTCCAAGTCCAACGCAGCCTTAACTTCGCCATACCTAATACCGTGTGTGAGGTAGAGAGACAAAAATAGACACACAACAAATTATCTCTCCAACCCTTGGTATGTCATTGAGTGGAGATTAACTTATGTAATTAGAAACGAAAACTCACACGACACAAGAGACATCGTCACGGTGGTGTTATGTGTAATGTATCAACGTTGTATAAAGAAAAACTTGTACATTATGTTGTATTGTTAGCCTGGGATACAATACCCAAACTATGAAAGTATGAGCTTTCTCTCCTGAGCATCAAAAGATAATAAAGAACAATTAAGTTTTAACTAAATAAGCTCACTCATAAATAATGATGTGTTGGAGAGAATCATGCCTGAAGGTCCTCCATCTCCTAAGACCTAGGTGTGAGAAATTGATTGCGCACTTAAAATTTACTTTTAGTTACAAGCAGTATTACTATATTAAGCTATTGCTTAACAATTTAATCAAAAGCTATTGTTTGTCAACGAAAAAAATTACAAGCAGTGTTGGAACCAAATTCGTGCACCACCATGGATTGGAATTTGGTCTCAACAAGCGATATTACTATATTAAGTTGGAATAAGATGTGAGAAAGATTTCGACTCAAAATACAGTGGACTGAAGAGGAGGACCTTATCAAAGCATCCACCAATTGCAGATCTAAAAAATACTTTACCAGCCCAACTTTTGTAACAAAAATAAAGATGTTGCTTAATAACTAATAACCCATGAAAAATGATAATTGTCGTTCGCACTTTCTCAGGCAGTGTTCAATACACTCGAAGCAATACAAAGCTTATTCTTTCCTAAATCAAATAATGATGCTTGTGCTTTCACAAGGATTGACGCAGACAACACAACGACCCTATATGAAGTTATTATGAACCCCTATTGTTTTCTCCCTCTACACTCTTATTCAATTTTGATATCAAAAAATTAAGATGAGCGTGTAAGAAGAAAAAAAAAAATATAATTATCAATTCCATAACCTATTTCTTTTCACAACCTATGTGATACTTGCATCCACACTACATTGCCTCAAAAAGCCAACTAAACGTGTCTAGAGAATCAATGTAATACAGATTTTGTTAGGGACAATCACCAACCATGCCACCCTACTGACAGATTCACGGTCTCTGTAGCGTCCCACACCACTGGTATAATACCATGTGTCAAACCATCTCCACTTGGGCTTGTATTAATGGTCTGGAACGCCACTGTAGCGGCAAAAGGGAAAAGAAAAGTTTGGAACTGCGGTATGTCCAAAATTCAGAAGAAAATAAACAGTGAAAAAATGAAGGAAACATTTGCGCAGGTGGAAGAATAATGCTTCTTAAGCATACATTGTTTTCTATACACGGCAAAGAAATGTTCTATATATGATAGGAACCCTCAAAGCTCAATCACAACATTTTGCTGCATACTTTAAAAAAACAAAGCAACATCATCCCCTATGCATCTCAAACTCCCAAATGTGCACATTTCTTTTTTCCCCATCTTTATCCTTTGTTATTTTACAGGACTCAAATGGAGAGCGACACAAACAACATATCGATATACTCTTTTACACAGTTACTTACATACGACCAAACTAATTAAAGAATCGCACCCGCCATTTCACATAAAACAGAATGTTCATAAAAGCCCTGCAAAATAGAAAAGAAGAAGAGAAAATGAGGATCGCCCTTGTGAAAAATGACTGATTACACATCGAATACTGCAAATTGATCCATGCAACTAATTGATCTAAGAATAAGAAAATTGTATTACCTTCGTTTGGGGGCATAAAAGAGGTCACGAAGTAAATGCAAAAAGCCTATCTGAAATCTTTGTACGACAAATTGGGCACTCAGAACATGCAAGTGAACAAGATTTACACACTGCAAAAGGTACACCAGAGTTACTGCTAGAAATGATGAGTATATAGGGTTGAATTGACACTTTTGCTACGCAACTTCAGAATGACTTACAGCAAAAATGCCGGCAAGGGAGAAGAATTGCTGCAGTTGGTGATTCAAAACATACTTTACACAAATGGGAATTGGCATCTCCAGTTTCCCTGGTGTTTGAGCTCTTTCTCCTTCATCTCTTTCATTCGAGCCTGGAAACATAAAAGTGGGTATGTTACACATAGCTTTCAATGACAACATTTGGAGGATTACAAAAAGACTCCTCTACTTCAAACCAAACTACTTGACAATAATTCATTAATCTTTAAATCTTTATCTTCTTAAGTGTCCACATGTTTTTCACGAAAAGAAAAATGGTTGACTCCTCACACAAATAAGTATATGATAACATCTTGAATTCATTGAAAGATCTGTAGATAGTATAGCCAAGCATGTGGTGATAATAGAACCATTTGGATTGAGCCAAGCTTTTTAAGTGGACACAATCTCTATGCAAATATGTTTGTAAACCAAACCTATCACCTAAGAAACTCAATGCCGCAAAAATTATACTACTTGACTCTTCTTTTTCATGTCTTCAAAGCCATTCAAACATAACTGAGCTTTTGTCTCGTTGGTTTTACAAAACTAAATGAACCTTAAAACAGAACCGATTACCTTTTAACGTCTCCAATCCAAATCGTAGAGGAATACCAAAACAATCCTAGAACATTTATGTTAAAAGAGAATGCAGGTAATCAGGTTACCTTAAGGCGAAGAACAAGAGGTTCTTCCTTACGACTTTCATCATCAGCAAATTTTGGAGCATCCAAAACTTGTCTCTCTATGTGGGCACTCTCATTCATAGTTGCTTTTAGACCATTACTATTTTCCATCACATCATTGGGCCTTTCTTCTGTGTGTGTCTCAGGGATAGACCCGCCCTCTTTCTTTAATTTTGCAACCAACACCCACATGTTTGCTAAATCATTCTCTAGAGCTTCCTCCCTTTTCTTTGCATCTTCAACCTTTTTCCTGTACTCCTCTTCTATAAATTCCTTTTCAGCAAGGGCAGCCTCAAGAGCTGTCTCTCGCTGTTTCCTAGCTTGGAGTTCCATCTTTAAATCATCCGAATCATGATTCCATGCCTCAAAGTCATCAGAACGACCAGATAGCCTCCCTTTCCTCCCACCTCTTGGTCCATCATTGTACTTCCGGTTAATGCCATTAACGGGTTGCATGGCAGAACTTCTAGAATTGGCTAACTCCCGAGCAGCCAACAATTCTTTTTCTAGTTTTGCATTCTGCAATGAGAGCTTTGTCACTTCACCAGCCAAATTCTTCAACTCAACAGCAGCAGCAGATGCCAGTTCCTTTGCATAAGAAGCTTCTTCGGCCAGTTTTTGATTCTGCACATGTAACCCACTACTCTCCTCCGAGAAACGCACGTGCTCCAGCTTTAGTTTTTCATTCTCAATCTCCTATGAGAAGGAACAAAAGCATCAATTAGTTAGATGTATAGCATGAAAGCAACATCTTACATTGCCACAACAATATTCAAGCACACAAGAAAGAAAAATCCTAATACTAACCAATTCTTTTTTCGGTACAAATAGTAACCAATTCATATGAAAGTTAAAAAAGAAAATATAACTAAACAAAGCTATGGATTTAGCCATTCTAAATAATAAATAGATATAAATTCCACTGTCAAGTAATGACGACAGAGAAACTATAACTTCTATAAAAGCTCACATGAACCAAGAACAATAAACTAAAACAAAAGAGGGAGTGCTAGTCAAGAGTATGGCAATATACTTGAAACTAAGGTACTCGCTAGCATTTACTAATCCATCTAGCGTTATGGATTGATAAGGCAGAAAGTTTCAGTAATCACCTGAGACTGAATTTTCTTTTGCAACTCCTCAACATTCTCTTCAGATGCACAGTGCTCGGAAGATGGTGATGATCTTTCACCAGATACTGAAGCCAAACGCCGCTCTAACTGATCCACTTTTTCTTGCAACTCCATGTTCTCTGCACACTGCAAATACACAGAAAGCTCAGCAATATACCAAAGGATATAAAATCCTGCCCTGATACAAAACAAAGCTTAAAAGGAATCAGCTGAATGGAAGAAAAAGTTAACAAAAGATAACTCTCCAAAGGAACTAGGGAAGGCATTCTAACCTTATTTTGCAATTGCTCCTGGAGAATACGATTGTCTGCTGATTTTATCTGCATGAAAGGT